GCTTGTTGATCAGGGTAATGCTGACGATGTCCTCGTCCATTTTCGCGGAGGCGTCGTCCAGCGCCTTCTTCAGTCTTTTGAATTCTGTTACGTTATCATACGCGGTTTTGTCATCGCGGTATTGGAAAGCAAAGAAGTTGTTCACAGCTATAATTTTCCTGCTTGCATCTTTCTGCAGAAAATGATCTTCAAGTCTTTTCCAGATTGTGGGGCCACTCACAGTTGTTGAATCATCACTGAAGAGACCCTCGATGAGAGGGGTGTCGAGTGCATTCAAAAGAATGTATCTGGCTGCGATGGGTCTACGAAAGTTCGGCGCTGCCAGGATGGCGCTCCCAGAACGACCCGGCAGAAACGGCGCTGCGAGAACGGCGCCGCAAGAACGGCGCTGCGAAAACGTCGCGGGTCACAACACCGCGGCGCGGACGGCGCCGGCTGAAACGGCGCGTCAGGAATGACGCTGCGAGTACGGCGCTGAGAGAACGACTCCGGCAGAAACGGCGCCGAGGGATAAGACGCCGGGGATAAGGCGCCGGGGGATACGGCGCCGGGGCATACGGCGCGGTGGGAAGGATGCCCTCATGAGGCGCTGCGTCCTGAGGCGTACAGTCCATCTCGTTGCAAGCAGTGCTAATCGAAACTCGAAAACTCTAGCATAGCTTACTATGATCGAATGTTAGCAAAGTCCAATATTTAACCAGCAGATATAAGTTCTGAGAACATCTGTTAGACGTGACTACCTAGTTTTTCTTCTGATAATTATATGTAATGCCTCGCAAGAAGCTCATAGTTGTTCGCGTCGTGTATGAGCTGACAAGCCTCAGGGTGTTCCTGTTCGCAACTTCGTATTTTTTTAGAGTTGTGGGACCCGCGGCGCCCGCTACTAGCGATTCGTACTCGAAATCGCGGTTCTTCTGACTTCTCTTCAGAGCATCGATGAACATCCATATGCTAGGATGATCCATGTTGAATTCCGTCTGTATGCGCCTATTCGCGGCTTCTGCGTGGTTGTTCGTTCTGTGACATCCTTGGATGGTCCGCTCGTAGACCTTCCAGATTGATATTGGAAAGCGAGGATTGCGGCGACGACCGCGACGATCTGGTCTTCCGAGATAGGTATCTCCAAAATAATTCAGAAGAGGCTCGAGTTCCGCTGGCGATTCCTCAGAAAGCAACTCGAACGCTTTCTCAACATCCTGTGGCGGTACATATGCAAGGGCACCAATCATTTTCGCGTAGCTGGCGAATTCCGGATCGTTCCTATATTTCGTGGTCAAACCCGAAGTGTTGACATGCTTTTTCAAGTTCTGCATTAGGTGAAAATAGCAGCCTGCGATGTTGGCATTGGGAAACACTTCACGGATGCTATTAATCGCAGCCAACTCATAGTCACAGCTGATAGTCTCCGGTTCAATACTTTCATCCAGGCTTCTGATCATGGTGAACATTCGGGTGTAAGTTGAACCAGACTTATTGGGAAGCAGCACGTACAGGAAAGGATGAACGGTCTGGTTCATCTCCGCGAGTATAACGTAGACTTGGTAAGAAAGTGGTGGGACTATCGAGAACGTGCCATCCACGAACCACATTTTGCTGTACCTTAGCTCTTCGATGTTCCGACTGCGGCCAAAGATTAGAATACGGTCCAACTCGGGACCTGAGTCGGCCAGGAGGAAATCTTCGAACACACCTGGACTTGTCTCGTAAGTTCTATAGCCTTCCGGAATCGACAATTCTGCCGAGCTGGTGGGGGCTGCCGGTGCGCTGAATCTCTCGCCTCGCGCATTCTGCACGGTCTTCTTAAGCGCGGATTTCGTCGGCATTACGCCCATGACATATTCGGGGAGTTTGAGCAGAGTCGCGTTGATGACTTGAGAGCAGCCCTCCATCGTCTCTTGAGCTCGAGCTTTTATTTCCGCAACGGCCTGCTTCGTCTGGATTCTCGCTGGATCACTATCATGAGTGTGCTCGTTTATGGTTCTCACAACATCCCCATCGATAGTGTGGACTCGACCATTACAACGACCTTTCGGTTCACATCTCCAGTAGAGAGTTCCGCCGTCGGCCGAGTACTTGTCGAAATTGTACAGGAAACCGTCGTGGGCGAGTTTCCGTCGCCTCTGTTGGTCAGCATCTGCATTGATTCTCGGTGGAAGCACGAAACACTTTGAGAACGCAGTATTTCACTGTTCACAATGGAGCTGAGCTGAATGAGTCCAGAGTAGAATGTTTTAGGAGGGTATCGGCTCGTTCACTGCTGTGAGAGACATATCCGCGCTGAATGAGTGCATGGGGCATCTTTGAGTTTCATATATCACCATTCGTGCCATCGAACATCATGGACAACAATTTTCGCGAGTAGGTACATGAACGTGTTCATCTTGGTCCAGGCAGAATGAGTGGATATCAACACTTCTTGGTCGGCCGAATCGATTCATTCGACATATTTGCCACTCTGTGCAGCATATTAGATGCAAAGATATAAGCTGCTCTTCTCATGGTACAGACTTCGTATCTGTACGGAATCTAATGATCCTTTCAATCAGTTGAATATTTCTATAATCGTCCATCGATCGCAGCTACGAAGATGCCCTTTCAACCGCGACATTCCCACCAGCGGCCCTTGCAAGGGAGCTTCCTTGCGAGCGCCGCTCTCGCGGCGTCATTTTCGCAGCGCCGTTCTCGTCTGCGCCGTTCCCCCCGAAGCTGCTTCCGCACCGCCAATTCCGCAGCGTCGTTTTCGCGGCGCCGTTT